GGTAAATAGATAACATAAACTGTGGTACATCCAGACAATGGACTATTATCCAACACTAAAAAGAAATTTGCTATCAAGCCATGAAAAGACATGGAGGAAACTTACATGCATGTTACTAAGTGAAAGAAACCAAACTGGAAAGACTACTTACTGAATGATTCCAAATACGTGACATTCTGGAAAAGACAAAACTATGGAGACAGTAAAAAGATCAGTGGTTGCCAGGGGTTTGTTGGGGAGGAAGTGATAAATTGCATATGGATCTGATATTTTAATGTAAAAAATGAAGCCAAAATTGCAAAGAATTATACATGCACAAATGAGTGCATATAAAACTGATAAAATCTAAATAAGCTATATGGACTGTACCAATGTCAGTTTCCTGGCTTTGTTACTGTGCTATAGTTATGTAAGATATTACTGTAATAGGAAACTGAATGAAGGTACCTGGAATTACCCTGTACATTTTTTGCAACTTCCTATGACTCCATAATTATTTCAAAATTGAAAATTAAAAGAGGGCGCCTGAGTGGCTAAGATGGTTAAGCGTCTGCCTTCGGCTCAGGTCATGATCCCAGAGTCCTGGGATCGAGTCCCACATCGGGCTCCTTGCTCCTTGGGAGCCTGCTTCTCCCTCTGCCTCTCCCTCTCTCTCTCTCTCTGTCTCTCATGAATAAATAAGTAAAATCTTTAAAAAAAAAAAAAGAAAATTAAAAGAAACAAAACCATACAATACCAAATGAAAACAAGACTTTATAACCTGGGAACAGTGAAAACTTTCCCAACTATGCTTTAAAGTCAAGATACAGTAAGGGGAAAAAACTGACAATTTGGGCTGTACTAGAAAGAAAAAAACACCTTTACTCATTCAAAAAATTAAAAAGCATTTGACTAAAAAAAAAAAACTAGGTAAAAAATTTGCAACAGAAAAAGGGTTAATAACCATACTATATAAAGAATTTGTAAGCATAGAAAAATAGGCAAGAGCTGTGAACATACTCTTCACAGGTGAAGAAATGAAAATGATTCTTAACCATATGAAAAACTGGACAGCCTCACAATAAGTGAAAATTACAACTACATGGAGATAACATTTTTCCTCAGAGTTTATTAAAAATGTGCAAGTTAGATAACATAAGTCTGTTGGGAAGGCTGTGTGTACGCAGGCACTTATTGGTCGCTCTAGGAACCAATATGGGAATGTAAAACAGTAGAACCTCTGTGAAAGAAAATCTAACAGTATCTCGCAAAATTAGATTTTTATCTTTTGACCCAGCAATCTCTTTCCTAGGAATCTATCCCACAGATATAATGGCACAGATAAGAATAGTATGAGGATATTTACTGTATGCATTATTTGTAATAAGGACTGGAAACAACCCAAATATCCATTAATGAGACAGGCTGAATAAACTCAAGGCATTTATCATGAATTTATACTGACCCCTTAGATTCCAATCTGAACACCCCAGCATTCTTCCTTCTCTTCTCCCCCAGTCCCACACTTGTATTTTCTTTCTCCCACAGGCAAATCCCTGGCTCCCCCAAACATCAGTATAAATGTGTGTACTCATTGGCTCAGTCCTACAGTAGATAGAAAATGGTTTCAGAATTGCTGTGTTTATTCAACTACCAACACCAAACTAAGAAGTTCAAAATTTCTTTGTATTTATTATTACATTATTACATTGCCTTTAGACTGAAGTATAGTCTAAGCACTATAAAAGTTATTTGGATTAGCTCTTTTTTATTCTCTTAGTTATGTTACCCAACTAATATACAGTTAGAGTTGCTTCGTGTTTACATTTAGAGTTTAAAAATCAAATTTTGAGGGCGCCTGGGTGGCTCAGTTGGTTAAGCAACTGCCTTCGGCTCAGGTCATGATCCTGGAGTCCTGGGATCGAGTCCCACATCGGGCTTCCTGCTCGGCAGGGAGTCTGCTTCTCCCTCTGACCCTCTTCCCTCTCGTGCTTTCTATCTCTCATTCTCTCTCTCTCTCAAATAAATAAATAAAATCTTTAAAAATAAATAAATAAAAAAAATAAAAATAAAAATCAAATTTTGAGTGAGGAAAATTTGAGCATAAGCTAAGTATTAGATGATATTAAAGAATTTTAACTTGTGGTAAAACGTATTGGGGTTGTGATTTCACAAAAATCCGTTTTCTGTTAGTGATACATATGGAAGGTATTAACAGGTAAGAGGAGATGGTTGAGATTTGTTTAATGGGGAAACGGGTGATGAAATAAGATTATATTACTGTTGAAATTGTATAATGTGTTTGTCAGGATTTATTTTATTTTTTGTTTATTAGGGTTAATTATAGTACTTTCTCTACTCTCATGTATTTAGAAAAATTTCTTTTAAGGGGATACCAGGGTCACCTGGGTGGCTCAGTCAGTTAAGCATCTGATTTTAGCTCAGGTCATGATCTCAGGGTCCTGGATCAAGCCCTGCATTGGGCTCCCTGTTCAGCAGGGAGTCTGCTTGTCTGTTTCCCTCTGCCCCTCCCCCTGCTCATTCTCTCTCTCTCTCTCTCTCCTTCTCTCAAATAAATAAATCTTTTAAAAGGGGGGTGGACACGAAACTGGAAATTTAATCTATAAGGGCATATTACATCATATTTTTAAGTGTGCAAAAGTAATGCTGAAATAGATTCTGTGTACGTACGGTTGTGTAAGTGTGTGTATGTATACATAGTTAGTCCTAACTTATAAATGGTCTCTATTCACTCACTTTGCAAATGTTTCCTCAGCATTTACTATGTACCAGGCACTACTGCAGAAATGCTAATTTCTCTGACTCTGCCTTTTCAGGAGCTTAGCTGTCCTGTAATCATTGGCTCATTGATCTGTCCTCTGCATAATATTCTTAACATGTTCAGGATGCCGTGGAAATACAAAGGAGGAGTTTTAAAATCCCAGTTTGAAATCAGGAAAGCTTTTTAGAGGGGAGTGATACTTGATTGTTTTAAAAGACAAACAGATGAGGGGCACCTGCGTGGCTCAGTCTGTTAGGTGTCTGCCTTCAGCTCAGGTCATGATACCAGGGTCTTTGGATCGAGCCCCGCTTCGGGTGTCCTGCTCAGCGGGGAGTCTGCTTCTCCCTCTGCCCCTTTCCTTGTTCGTGCTCTCTCTCTTGCCCCCCTTTGCTCTCTCTCAAATAAATAAAATCTTAAAAACAAAACAAAACCAGATGAAAGCATGAGGCATGGAAGTGGGGCGGGACTGAGGATAGATTTCCTGGCAGAGAACACAAGCTGTAGATTGAATGGCATGATGAATAGGGAACAGAAAAGTACTTCAGAATACCTGGAATAAAAAAAATAAAAAAAAAAAGAATACCTGGAATAAAAGGTCTATAAGACAGTGGTGGGGAATGAGGCTTGAGAGGTAAGGAAATGCCAGATCAGGATGGGCCTTGTGAAGGACAAATGTGGAGTTTGAAGTTTATCTTGAAAGCTGTTGAACATTTTAAAAACTTTTAAATGGGGTATTGAGAGTGGATGGCTAGAAGAACATTCTTTCAAGAAGCTTGGCTATGAAAAGGGAAAAAGAGTCACTAGAGGGAGAATTGGTTTTTTAAAAATTTTTATTTAAGTATAGTTGACACACAATGTTACATTAGAGTTTTGTTGTTGTTTTTTTTTTTAAGATTATTTATTTATTTATTCATGAGGACAGAGAGAGCACACAAGCAGAGGGAGCGGCAGGCAGAGGGAGAGGCAGGCTCGCCCAGCAGGGAGCCCAATGCAGGACTTGATCGCAGGATCCTGAGATCATGACCTGAGCCTAAGGCAGACGCTCAACTGACTGAGCCACCCAGGCGCCCTAGAGTTTTGTTTTTTACCATGAAAGACTTCTGTGTGCCCTTATGCTAAGGGAGACAACTATATTCCAGCATTTTCTCACAGCAGCACAATTATGGTGGTGGTTTCAGGCGAGTCCCAACAAGCCTATTTACTTCTGTAGTTATATAAAATATATAATATATAGTACATATATACAGATATTTTGCAGATAAACGCACATCTCAATATCATTAGTTACAGAGCAACTTAGAGATTAGATGCAAATAGTACTGTTCATTAGAGTCTTAGCATTGTGTATTCAGATAATTTCATATTGAAAGGTCCATTTAAGTTCCTCTATAGCATTATCTGGAATTTTAGGGATAAAACATTAATACTCTGCAAATAGCTGTTATAAAAACAATATTCTAAAAATATATATTTCTGTGGATATAGCCCTTAGACCAAATGTGCTAACAAATGTTTAAGTCTGTTTTATGGGGGTTTGAGGATTATAGATAGTTATTTTCTTATTTGTGCTTTTTTCCATTTCTCCCAAATTTTTTACACAGAACATGTGTTACTTTTGTAGTCAGAAAAAGTATTTTCCTTTAAAAATTTGTCAGTGAGAGAGAGCCCACACAAGCAGAGGGAGCGGGGGGCATAGGGAGAAGCAGGCTCCCCGCTGATGGGGAACTCAATCTCTCACCCTGGGACCATGACCTCAGCTGAAGGCAGACGGTTAACCAATGGAGCCTCCCAGGAAAAGTATTTTCTTAATGACCTAATTTTCAGTATGCTTATGCTGTTTTACACTGCTAGATATTGACATAGTAGGAAAACAACAATACAAGTCAAGAAACTGTGAATTCTTACCAGGCAGCAGGGCAGTATATATCATGCAACATAAAATCTGTGTCATCTTTTTCATAGGGTTGTTTCTGAGGTCAGTTGGTAGTATAGTAAAATGTCTTAAAATGTGCAAAGTCCAAAGTTACTATGAAGAACAGATAAGATAAATTAATAGTTCATAGACCAGCTTTCCTGGTTGGGGAAGAGTAAAATAGGAAGATTTAAAGTTGCTGTCAAATACTAAGTTAGTTTATTTTAACAAAAATATCTATGAAGCCCAGTAGGTTGTTTCTTTTATACATGAGTTTATTTTAGTGCTTCATCTTTTTTTTCCCCATGTATTTTATTTTTCTTTTAGGTAGTCAAGCCACATACTCCATTAATAAGGTTCCCTGACAGAAGAGACAATCCTAAACCTAACGGTAAGTTGTACTTCAGATTTTTATTTTTATTTATTTATTTATTTTAAAGATTTTATTTATTTATTTGACAGAGAGAGACACAACGAGAGAGGGAACACAAGTAGGTGGAGAGGGAGAGGGAGAAGCAGGCTTCCCGCCGAGCAGGGAGCCCGATGCCGGGCTCGATCCCAGGACGCAGGGATCATGACCTGAGCTGAAGGCAGACGCTTAACGACTGAGCCACCCAGGCTCTGTACTTCAGATTTTTAAAAAAATATATGTACAGGCATATTTGTATATGAATATTCTATTATAGGCATTATTTCTCATTTTAAAATCAGCGAGACCATTGTAGCTTAGATCACAATGGTCTGCTAGGTTTCATGCAAGTAGAAATTAACTTATTACCTCCATTTAAAAAGGTAGTGACTCAACAGAACATGTCTCTGAATTTTTAATGATAACGATTTTATATAGGGAAATTTTTGTTCTTTCCTTTCTTCTGTCCTTTAAAAGACTCTCCCATGCTTACATTGGAGAGATTGTGAGGAACAGTAGCCATTCCTATATTTTTCTCCCAGCTGACCTTCTTTTCTTTCACTCATTTATTCATTCACTCAATAGGTAAAGACTGCCTTAGCCCTGAGCAATTATTTCCTGTAAAGTAACTGAAGATTCTGAACAAGTCCTGTTTTCCTTTTGCCCCTCCTTTTTACCCGATCCTTTGTCTCTGTTTTTTTTAATTCCAGTATAGTTAACTTACAGTGTCCAATATAGTGATTCTATACATTACTCAGTGATCATTATGATTGTCCCTGTCTTTATTATATTTGATCTTTTTTTTTTTAAAGGATTTTATTTATTCATTTGAGACACAGAGATACAGAGAGAGAGAAGAGAAAGCATGAGCAGGGAGAGAGGCAGAGGGAGAGGGAGAAGCAGGCTCCCTGCTGAGCCAGGAGCCCTGGGATCATGACCTGAGCCGAAGGCAGACGCTTAACCATCTGAGCCACCCAGGCGCCTATATTTGATCTTTAATTCAGGGAGGAGTTTATCAAATTTTATAGGGATATATATATATATATATCCTTTTTTTTTTTAAGATTTTATTTATTTATTTGACAGAGCAAAAACGGGGAGCGGGAGAGGGAGAAGCATGCTTCGCGCTGAGCAAGGGTGCCCAATTCATGGCTTCATCCCAGGACCTTGGGATCATGACCTGAGCCAAAGGCAACCGCTTAACTGACTGAGCCAGCCAGGTGCCCCTTATAGGGATATTTTTAACTGTAAATGCCACACAAAACTTAAGTCAGGTAGATTATCCATATGGGTTGAACTCCAGTACCTAGAAATTTTATTATTTTACAAACTTGTTTGATTTAGTAATTCATCCACTTAAAGCTACCTCCTTTTTTTTTTTTTAATATTTCAGTTATTTATTTGAGAGAGACAAAGATAGAGAGAGCACAAGCGGGGAGGAGAGGGAGAAGCAGGCTTCCCGCTGAGCAGGGAGCCCAATGCAGGACTCGATCCCAGGACGCTGGGATCATGACCTGAGCCAAAGACAGACGCTCAACTGACTGAGCCATCCAGGCGCCCCAGCTACCTCCTTATTTATTTATGTATTTATGTATTTATTTTTTAAAGATTTATTTATTTATTTTGAGAGAGAATGAGAGAGAGAGTACATGAGAGGGGGGAGGGTTAGAGGGAGAAGCAGGCTCCCCGCTGAGCAGGGAGCCCGATGTGGGACTCGATCCCGGGGCTCCAGGATCATGACCTGAGCCGAAGGCAGTCGCCCAACCGACTGAGCCACCCAGGCGCCCCCAGCTACCTCCTTATTTAAAAAGAACTTTATGAAATTAAATATAGGTACTCAACTAAGTTACTCAGTAATACCTCTCAGAATTACGCTTAGCATTTGAAGAATGACTTGCTTACTCAATAATAGACTCAAAATGGTATTTTAAGACACCTGAACAATTTATTTCTCTAATTACTTTTTTTTTTCAGTATCAGAAGTTTTGAGATCAGCAGGACTACCGTCTCACTCTTCTTCAATTTCACAGCATTCTAAGGGAAGTAAATCCCCAGATTTGCTGGTGCATCAGGGTCCACCAGACACTGCAGAAATAATAAAAACATTACCTCAGAAATACAGAAGGAAACTTGTATCTCAAGAAGAAATTGAATTTATCCAAGTATGTCGTTGCTCTTTATCTTAGTACTGTGCAAAACACATGAACATTTTTGGCTTTTGGAATTTCATAGGCTGATTTACTTGCTCTTTCCATCACCTTGTCATGGTGGGTCAGTAGCTAACACCAAAATAGTCGGGTAGACCAGGACTATGAGAAATAAACCATGTACAAGCCCTCAGTAAAAGTACATGAAGGAATATATGTGTGGAAGTAGAATATGGGAAGTAGCAATAGCTATAACCACATGAAAAAAGCTCGGTAGAATCCTTGGTAATTTTTCAGTGTGAAGGGCTGCTGAGACCATGAAATTTGAGGACCACCAATCAGGGTCGACCTTGAGTCCTTTCCAGATCAGAAATTGTTCATAACCTTGATAGGAGTGCCTAAGAGGAATGAAAAACCGAAACTGTTTTTTTTTAAACACCTAAAGATCATTTGCTTAAAATAGTGTAAATTCATATAGTGGCCATGAAAACATTTCTTCTGTAAATTTAACACCCAATCTTTTTGCTTTGTTTTTTCCTTTTCAGCGTGGAGGTCCAGAATAATCACTGACGGTGTGGCTGCTGTTTGTCATCAGACAAAAGACTAGTCTTTACAATAAAGGACTTCCAAAATGGCACATGAGAAATTATATAGTAAATAACTTGAATAAATACTCTGCAAAAAAAAAAAGAAATCTAGAAAATTTAGATGGACAATTGTATCTCCTAATATATGTATCTTGGTCAGCTTCTCCACAAGCTTACCTAATTGTTTATATGCTTATTAAAGTATACATTTTTAAATGTTAGCCTATTAATTTACTCTTGATTATCAAGTATTACCAGTGTTGAGCTACTAAAAGCACACAATATCTAGTAAACTATCACAGGTTTCCCATGGTTTCCCTTTTGTTTCAGTTTCTTTTTAGACATGGAAAGATTTATTAGAATTACTGCTTTTGGGAAGTGATTTTCCTGAAATTGGATGAGGATCAGTGAAAAGAATGACTCCATTATTCTTAGTTTTCTTCCCCTTTTTTTCATTCACAAAGTTACTGGAGTATAACTAGTTTAAAAAGTGTATCCTACACTAAATGATAAAAATATAGTCAAGGTAAAACAGGTGACTTTGTGGTATTAAAACTGGGAGTTAATACAAAAGATTATTTGTAACCTGTATTCAGAAGAAAATACCAGAGTTTAAAATGGAAAATAAGAGATCAAAATGAATATAACCTAGAAATGTGTTTGATTAGAAATTGCAACTTACTATGTTATTAGGGGTGTTGAGAAAGTCTTATTCTTTATTTTACTGTTTGAATTGTCATCATCTGTGCAAATTCTGGAAACCACTAACTTTCTCAAACTTAATGTCTGAAAGTCTCATAAAATCAACCTAAATATTTACCTTACTAAGGCAATTTATGAAACTTTAATAGGGTCTTACAGTGCCAAGGGTATGTATTATTGTGAAAGTAAAGCCTCACAAAGCTAAATAAATTTTCTTCCATACCTTGAATGATTTCTAGAATATGCTTCAAAGAAGTCATCCCTAATAGTAAGGGTAGCTTATGGGCATTAGACAGAGTCGAGGGGTGCCTGGGTGGCTCAGTCAGTCGAGCGTCTGCCTTCGGTTCGGGTCGTGATCCCAGGGTCCTGGGATTGAGCCCCGTGTTGGGCTCCCTGCTCAGTGGGGAGCCTGCTTCTCCCACTCCTCCCCGCTTACTCTTGATCTCTTACTATCTCTTTCTGTCTCTCTGAAATAGATAAATTTAAAATCTTTAAAAAAAAAAAAAAGACAGTTGAATTGTTGTTGAGTATTGCTCATTTGCCTGTGAACTAAGCTTTGCTTTTTTTTTTTTGCTATTCCATAGTTGATCTGCTTCTCTTGTAAATTCTCTGTTGTGGCCTAGTATAAATGTTGCCCAAGTCGAATATGAGACAGGTGTTTGGTACTAGCAATAAGCTGTTCTGGTGACGCAGAAAAACAATGTGATTCATGATTTTTCTGTTACCATTTTTAAAACTTAATTGGAAAATATTCATAAAAGTTAGCACTATTCTCTTTTTTCTTCCTAATTTTTTCATTTCAGTAAAAGGAAGCCAATATTTTTGCTTTCCGAAACAGAGTGGTTTCAGGCAATGAAGAATGACTTCTGTGTTACCATGGGCCAGCAGTCAGAAGCCGCAATACTAGAACCGTCTGAAGGCCATCTTTACTACAGCTCCTACCATGAATGTCGCAATGAAAAAAATTACCACTTTTACAGAATTAGCATAAGTATGGCAAAAAGGCATGTTCAGTGGGAATTGGTGTCGTAGGATGAGCTCCCAAAGAGATGGTATAGGAGGAATTCTGGCCTAGCTTTAAATAAATAGGCTGTATTTTCATTTAGGAGATAAGCACTTAAATATATATATAATCATCCACCAAGTGCTGAATTTGTTCAAGCTTCAGTTTTCCTCCCTAATACTGTACAATATGTTAGGATCCATTAGTGAATTGTGTGTTACTTTTTTTTTAATTTTTTTTTTTTAAAGATTTTATTTATTCATGAGAGACAAAGAGAGATTGAGAGAGGAGCAGAGGGAGAAGCAGGCTCCCACGGAGCAGGGAGCCCGATGTGGGACTCCATCCGAGGACCCTGGGATCATGACCTAAGCCAAAGGCAGACGCTTAACCATCTGAGCCACCCAAGTGCCCTTTTTTTTTAATTTTTATTTATTTGTCAGAGGGAGAAGCAGCAGGCTCTCTGCGGAGTGGGAGCCCAATGGCGGGGCTCGATCCCAGGACCCTGGGATCATGACCTGAGCCGGAGGTAGATGCTTAACCAACTGAGCCACCCAAGTGTCCCTATTGTGTATAATCAAAACTTAATGACTGAAAGCCCAAAATGTGGCTAAAAACAATAATCACTTAATAGCTCATTGTTTCTCTGGGTCTGGAATTCTGGAGCAGTTCGGCTGTGCAGTTCTGCTCCCAGTCTTTCAGGAGGTTGTAATCAGATGCCAGCTGAGGCTGCATTTATTGAAGGCTTGACTGGAGCTATATGATCTACCTCCAGGGTGGCTCACTCATGTGACTGGCAAGTTGATGCTGGCTGTTGGCAGGAGGCCCCAGGTGCTCCTCTCAGGCCTCTTCACACAGCTACGTGATTGAATTCTTGACATGATGGCTGACTTCCCTCAGAGCAAATAATCTAAGCATGCAAAGCGAAGAAGCAATGCCTTTTATGATCTACTTAAAAGTTACATGTACTCAATTCTGCCATATTCTACAGGTCACACAGAACAGTTTGTTTCCCTGTGGGAATAGACTACACATGTGCATTGATACCAGAAGGAAAGATTCACTGGGACCACCTTGAAAGCTGGCTATTGCTAATACGTGCAAGTGCTTTGTAAACTGGACAATGCTATACAGATGCTGAATGGCATTTTATACATAGAGTGACCCAGTAAACCCAGAATATTACCTAAATAACTGCCTTTTTTACGATACTTAAAATGTCCCCAAATCAGAATTTACTTAGCAGCATAGTATAATGCAGTTATTATCAATTCATATGCCATGATACACTTTGGAACCTCTAGCCTCACAAGTGTACCATCACATTTAGCTCACTAAGCTTACTTCTACTACAAGTGAGGTTAGATTACTGTTAAAGTGATAATTTTCAGAAGGAACTTCGACCTAAATTCTATGATACCACGTATCATTAGGTATATCTTGACATAAGAGAAAAATAGTAAAGACGGTGTTCTGTGTAATGTATGAGAATTTTGTCTATGAACATATCAGAACTCAATAAAAACCCAAGTGTCAGAGCTGGAAGGTGACCAGTAATAGTTATGTGATAGCTAACAAACAGCACTGTCAGACACTTTTCTAAGGGTTTTGGAAATGTAAAACATTTAAACCTTGCAGCAACCCAATGAGTAGTCCTATTATAAATGAGGAAACTAGGAATGAAAAGGTTAAATATTTTGCCCAAGTAATAAATCTAGTGACTGAACACTTTTGAGGTCAGTATTCAAATGCAAGTAGTCTAGATCCAGAGCAAGAACTGAACCCTTACTCTCTTGTTACAGTGACTAAATTATGAACCTTAGTATTCTGCTGCCTTCTTAAACACCTCTGAAAATGAATATTCTCAACTCTTAGAAACATTAAATGCTTCAGTTCAAAACCTTGGAATTAATCAGTTTTTTTTTTCCCCGCCACAACCCATATCCAGTCTGTCAGCAAATCCTATTGGCTAGAAGTCAAATTGATAAAATCTTACATAGCCATTCGGATAACTGCAATAATTCTTTCACTAGCCTTGCTTTTTTTTTCTAAGTCTATATTGTGGTTTCTCAAAACAGCCATTAGTGAACTTTCTAAAACATTAAGTCAGATCATACCACTGTGCAGAAAACTGCAGTGGCTTTTTTTTTTTTTGCAGTGGCTTTTCAGTGACTTTTTTTTTTTTTTTTTAAAGATTTTATTTATTTATTTGAGAGAGAGCGAGAGCAGGAACACAAGCAGGGGGAGTGGGAGAGGGAGAAGCAGGCTTCCCGCTGAGCAGGAAGCTAGAAGCGGGTCTTGATCCCAGGACTCTGGGATCATGACCTGAGCTGAAGGCAGACGCTTAACGACTGAGCCACCCAGGCGCCCCTCCGTAATGTCTTTTAACACCCTGTTTTTTTTTTGTTTTTTTTTTTTAAAGATTTTATTTCTTTATTTGAGAGAGAGAGAATGAGAGGATAGCACGAGAGGGAAGAGGGTCAGAGGGAGAAGCAGACTCCCTGCCGAGCAGGGAGCCCGATGTGGGACTCGATCCCAGGACTCCAGGATCATGACCTGAGCCGAAGGCAGTCGCTTAACCAACTGAGCCACCCAGGCGCCCTTAACACCCTGTTTTAAACTGCAAGCCCTCCCCTTTCCCTGCTTTATCTCTGTAGAACTTAACAGTATGTATCGTAACATATTTTATCTCCTTCCATTGGAAAGCATGGATCTTTGTCTTTTTCCCTGCTGATTTCTCAGTCTGCAACAGAGCCTGGCACATAGTAAGCGCTCTATATACATTCGGTGAATAAGTGAATTAATGTGTTTAACGTGTTGATTTGCATGAAAACTTATGAGAATCAAGGTTGACTACTCACAATTAACACTTAATTGAGCTCTCACTATGTCTAAACTTTCTGGGTGTTTCATTTAGTCTTCACAACCAGTTATGATGTCGCCTGTTATTACCATTTTACAGAATAGAAAATTGATGACCAGAAGTCTGTTCCACAGCACGAAATTCTTCAGTTGACTTTGATTTTGTTTCCCCAGGAGTACTTCACAAAGGACTGAATTAAGAGAGCCTCTAGACCAGCCCTTAAGAACTGGGCTCTCTTCTAAGTAACCAGAGATTGCGACGCTAAGCGTCCATAGCAACCGTGGCGACGGACGCCCTTGAGCAAGAACCAGAAAGCGAGATCAGGAATAAGGTCAAGCCTTCCACACTCATACACACCCATTAAATCCCGAACTCAGAACATCGTATCAGAACGCTGACCTGTCCCCGGTAGTGAAGGGAATATCGAAGTTAAAACGGTAACAGGGTGACAGAGTCACCTGAGAAAACACTCCGCTTCCGGCACCAACAAGTCACGGTGTGACAGGGCGGGGACCGCGCAGAAAAGCCAATGAACCCTGCCTCACTCAGCTTCCGTAGGGCGGGCTCTAGCCGGACTTATTTAGCAGCGCCCAAGTCCAAACCGGAAGTCGGGGCGGAGCTAATAAAGCGTCGGGCGCCCACTCAACGGAAGTGGCTGTTGGAGGCTTTAAGGTAGCTTTAAATTATTAGTGTCTCGGAAACTCGCCCCTTTCAGTTGGAGTCGAGTTTCTTGCGACGGATGGCGGTGGACGTGAAGTCGCGAGCAAAGCGTTATGAAAAACTGGACTTCCTCGGGGAGGGACAGGTGAGGCTCTCGGGAGGGATTCGGCGGTCTCTGAACCGAGAACGCGGAGCCGCCTCACACCCTCACAGATTTTCTGGTGCAATTGAGAGGACTGACCTGGCTACTCCTTTTTGGGCGAGGCTGTCCAGACGCACCTGCTGCCCCTTGTCTTTACCCTCGAGGGGAGCCCTTA